CTTTTCCTTATTTTTAATATTATATACTTTAGCTGTACACGTCTGCAAATATGAAAAAAAAAAGAGAAAAAAAAACAAACTATAAGCTGTCCCTCTCATGAGAATTAGAAAGACATTCTTTCGATGTACCACAAAAGAAATAATTTCAGCAGTTTTATTTTTCTTTATTTTTTGAAATATTTCGAGAGATAGAAAACAATAATTAGAGAATTTAGTTTGAAAATACGTTTTTCAGATGGGAAAGAACAATTTCATCTCATTTGAAGGCAAAAATTAAAGCCTAACATAATGTACAGCAGATTTAATTAAATAAATCTTCACAAATAAAAATGTAGTGATACATTTAAAGAAAAGAAGAGGGAGAAATAAATTTAAAGGGTATTAAGTGAAAGTCAAAAACGACCAGTCTAATTCTAAAGGAAAGGTCAATTCCCTGAAAAATTCTGCACAAAATTTCAATAGTCTTCAACTGCTCATCCCATCATTTTTTTCATTTCATCTGACTTTTTCCTTGTTCTCATCTTTTTGCTTGCTTTTTTTTCACTTTCCGGTTTTTTATATTTTTATTTTTCATTTCATTTTTCCAATATTTAAAATATGTTCCATGTTCTCTATTAAGTTCTGGTGGATCTGGTGCTCAAAATATTGAGGAATTAAAGTTGCGGATGGCCTTTTGAGTATGCCAGCAGAACAGAACTTAAATATCGATCAGCAGTCAGAGAGATTTCATGTTTGTCAAATGGTAAAGATGGCAAGCAATCTTCAGTTCTGTAAACAAAAAATTTGAACTTTCTATTTTTTTTTTTTACTATGAACTTATAATAGATTAAAAAGTGTTAATATCACGACTGTCAATTTTGCTTGATGAAATATTAGTTGATTTTTTACTTCAGGATGGTATACTAGCCAAGTGTAAATGAATACTGAATATGTCGTTTACCGAAAATTGTGAGGTGACATTAATCGACATGATGACATTTTGGATATTCTTTTATATGCTTTTAATAAAGTTAATTTCCTTTGTTCATTCTCAAAATTCTAATGAAATGTGATAAAAACGTCCAAATTTCGAAGAACAAAGTGGAGTTTCTTGATTTATTTTCAAATTTGAATTCCAAATAATCTTCATTTATACGAAAGGTCTCCACATGTATTCGCCTGATTGATTCGCTTTTTGAAACCTGATCGTCTTATTTTATGTTTACTTGAACAAATCAATCAACTCTGTGTTGACCAACAATCAAAGGGTCATTTAAATTCCTTGTATATAAATTAAGAAAACTGTTCGAATCGTAAATACATTTTATTGAAAATGCTTTTGTAAAATTTTAGACTGGATCTCCGTCTTTTTCAAAATCGGTATCAAATGAACATAGATAATGGTACAACGACAGTATGGGTAGAACTAAATGAATCTTGGACAAGTATTTTAAATATGTGACCTCATGTTGCACTATCATAGCTGTCAAATATACAATCGCAAATGCACACTTTCGTTACTTATGAAAATAAATGGCTAAATGGCTTTTGTGCCATTATGAAGTTTGACTTTCTTGCAGATATACCAGAACCATGCAAGTAATATTCTCTTGCAATAAATGAAAGTCTAATTTTTTTTCTCAGAATTATGGTTGGAACTGTATTCATTCCAAGTGCACATTTTGCGGGAACATTCACCATCAATTGTTGGTACTAATGTAGTGGAACAGAAAAACTGCACTGATGAGCTGGATCCGCGGAATCGGATCGGAAATGGATTGTAGATTCCAGCCGTAAAGTCATCTTCGTACTGAAATGATTTTGAACCTTTCCACAAAAACGTTTTATTTAATTTACTTGCTTCTAGTATCTTGTTTTCCATTGGTCAGATAAAATTTTACAAATGTGTATGATTTTTCCATCATTTTTAGGCTCAAAAATCAAATTAAACCATTTTTGAATTTATTAGTTTAAGCCTAATCACCAGTGGACAAAAGTAAATTTCCCATTACCCGACTTATGTTGAAAAAAGAAACTTCTCTTTACGACTGAAACTCAAAAACATTGGGATTGAGAATGTGGTCAGATTATTCTTAGTCATTATCTTTAATTCCTGAGGGTTTCATGATTTCAGGCTTATTAATTTCCATTCATATTATAAATTACTCTCTCTTATTCAGAATCGAATCCAAAAACTCGGCAATTAATCTTGTCAAATTTCCCTTTCAGTTTGTTCTTTACCTGTCGGAAGGACTTTTACTAATTTATATAACACACCTGTACATGCTCGAACAAGCTTGGTTCCAAGGTGCAACCATGTTCATCGATGATAAGATACGGTTCCATACTTTCCCTGTCACTTTTTACTGTACAATTTGCAACATGTAAACAGTAACCCTTTTCTTTGTCGCACTTTATTTTATAGTACAGTTCTGAGTACAAATTCGTACCTAAAAAGGAAGTTCACCAAGTGAAACACTGGATTTCGAATTAAATTGTGAAAATTTTCGTAATAATTTAAATCAAAAATGACGATAAAATCCCTACGCAAAATTTACTGAGTTTAAAGCAATGCAATGGAAGCTGAAATTAATTTAATCTTTTCAAAACTAAGCATTTTAATTAGTAAATAAGTATGAAGAGTCTGCAATGGGGAATTACTTCAGTATTATAAGTATTTCTTGATTATTTATATCTCAAATACAATAACCACGAGCCTCTATGTTTTCACCATTCTACTGAAATTTAAAACTTTAAATTTGAGAAGCTGGAATCTTTAAAAGCAAGATTATTAAAACAAATTCAAACGGTACTAACCCGAAATTTCTTTACCGTTTGGTCCACCATTATGTACAGAGAATTTACAATTCGTTTGCGGCAGATGAACTTTTCTGATTGATTTTTCCGGAATTTTTGCAGCTAGAATAAATGCAAACAAATATGATAGTATACATAATATCGATGAAGTCATTCGCCTACAAAATAGAAACATAATTAATTCCAATTGACGGCCAATTATTATTTCAACGCATCATCACTTCAACATTCCTCTCATGTTTCCTTTTTTTTTTTCTATGAAGACATCAAAAAAATGTCACCATTTCTTCTTTTGCTACGGTAGATTCTTACAACATCTTTACTTCCATTGGCTTCTTGTCATCTTAACCTCTTATAGAATGAAGCCAAGTTTGACAGATCAGAATTATTTAATCAAATTGTTTTCAGAAATGAAAGGTTCTAATTGTTGAGCAGCTTTGAAGTAATAAATTAATATTAAAACTGTTCATGAAAAGGAGACTTTGCTGATAAGATAACAATAAGACAGTTCTTTTTTCATTTGGAAGAGAAACTGAGCTGTTTTGTTCAGAAGGAAGTTTATTTTGAGTATTCAGAAAGATGAAGAAGTAGACATTTGTAAAATCAGAATAAAGTTTTGAGATTTGCAACAGACTGGAAATCTTCTGATCACATGTGGTTATCAAAACAGAAATTCATCGCATCATTTACTGCTTTACGGAAAATGTTCCGTCCTATTTATTTGCTTTCAGTGCATTTGAGAGTATCGGATCGATTGATTTTTTCCTCTGGGAAATTTGTTTTAATTTCCATAACTCCTATAACCTTCATTTGATGAAAACATCCATCGGTAAATTTGAAAACCGATCGATACCGGAAATGTTACATGCATTTTTATGGTGCATGTGTGACTGCACTATTCTCTCAAAATTTAAAGTGGGGTTTGTCCAGTAAAACGATAACATAGCAATCAGTATCCATCATCATAGTCTTAGAAGATATGAGGAAATCTATGAACTGATAATATTAACAATTAAGTTTACATTTTTAAAGATTCATTGTACGCAGGCTGTCTACATACTTGCAAACCTTACAGATTTCAATAAACTAAAAATTAGATTTGTGACAAACTTGACTAAAGGCAATTACAATCTCGCTGATCAAGACATTTAAAGAAAGTGAGCATGGAAATTCCGCAGCTGTTTCGATGTTCGAAGAGGATACAAAAATAATCCCGGAAATTTGGGTCACTGGGTCGTGCATTCACCCTGCCATCACAACTCGTTTCTTTTTCATCATATATTGTGTTTCTTTTCGGTTTTTCCTAAAACAACTATTCTGCTTTGGCTGAGAGTTTTTGCAATATCCCAGTGGAATATCTGAGAGAGAATGGTGTATATGTGTTGTTCAGGTAATCAGGTAAATCAATCGATCAATAGCTAATTCTTTTTTTTCATTGTTGCAGTGTACATAATAATTTCAAATGGATGCCATGTCGAATGACAATGACCCACCCACTAATTCATTGGTGGCGGAAGAGAACGGCGGATGAAAGCGAGTGCTTACCGCATTGTCCCATTATTGTCTTTTATGTATCAATTGGATGATACAAGTTCGAATTATTACCATCATATCGCTTATTAATTAATATTTTTCAATGAGGAATTGGTTAGGCAGTTATGATAAATTATTCATTTTGTGTGTTTTTCAAGAAAAAACATTTTCTTCATTCTGCATCAGAATTTTTGAAGATTTGATTAAATGAATTAAAAAATAAAAACTAGCTTGCCATGCTCGTACACGTCAGATGCAAATGACTAATAGCTCCAGAAGAAATATCAAAATTCTTTGCACTGCCAGCTCTTACCTCCATTGTCACATATGTTGCGCTTAATGTGTCAATCAGAAATTTCAAATTTATCATGCCTGAAAGTTAGAAGGCGGAGTTCAGCTTTAGTTCCAGTTAAATACTATAAAATAAGATATTTAGTAGTGTGATTTTACAAAATAACAACAAATGAAATGCGATGCATGTTTTGTGTTCTTTTATCTATGATTTCAGTCCTGAAAGGTAAGAAAATTCATTTCTTTTTTAAATTATAGTTGCTGCAGCGATTATGTTGACAGTGTTTACGACCTTTGACACATATGCTCTTTTACGAAATAAATATATAATTAAATTCCAATGGTATATCTGACATAACTCTGACAAAAAGTTAGATATATCTTATTTTTTAAAGGTTCTTCCACAATATTGTTTCCAGTCATGTATGGAATATTTAACCTTTTAGAAATTTCAGGATGTTCTGGAAATTTAACTTCAGTCAATAACCTATTTGAATTGGATCAATATATTACTGCTGAATGTTTGCCAAATGGTTTGAAAATTACATTGGAATTGAGTGACTTACAACTACAAACAAAAATATATGTATGTCATTCACACTATGCTTACTCTTTAAAAAATCCTCATAGAAAAGCCGGGAACGGGGGAGAAGGATAATATGCATTTTATGCAATACAATATTGATAAACTCTAATTTCTTCAAGGAACCGATGAAACTCGTACTAATTGGTTTAAATGATACCAAAATATGTGAAATGGAAATGCATGCAGATTCACAACCTATCAATATGCTGATACCAGAAATTTGTTTATCAAAAGATACGACACAAAAAGTTATTTCTTAGAATATAAAGTTTCATTTAATGGATATATGTTATCCTTAGTAAACACATCAATAGAAACAATTTTCACTTAACAAATAATGATATAATTTCAGATTTTATTGGTAACTGACAGTAAAACAATTCATAAATTCGAATTTGCTTGTGATCAAATGTTGAAAGTATGTTTTTCAATTCAATTTTATTTCTTATTTTGATTCATTCCTCAGTGCATTCATTTGTTTGCTTTGTCTTTTTAGATTAATCTGATTTTTAAAACAAGCTCAACATTACTCAACATGTTGATAGTGGAAATGACAATTGCTCATTGATTGTTTTGATAATCTACCCTTATTTTTTACAATCCCAATATCTCTATTTAGGATATTGTCTTAGCTGCTGATCTTAATGGTGAATCAGTTACAATAAATTCATCAGTACAAATCGGTTTTGATATCAGTTTAATGATTTCGTCAAAACATGGTAAATCTTGCAAATAATTCACTTCCAAATATTGCATAAAGAAATTTCATGTAATTTTTAGAGTTAAAAAAAAAAAACCGATGATTCATTTTTTTGAATGGAAAATCAATGAAAAAGTTTGGATAGTAAAATAATCTTTGATGATGCCAACATATAGAACAGAAAGGAAAGTTTGTCTGAAAAAAAAATGATAGTTTTACTTTTGAAATAAGCCTCTCTTATTTTCAGGAAGTTGGAATTTTCATGTACTTGGATAAGAAAATTTCTACTTTAACTTTTCAGAACCATTTCGCATTGTTGACTGTTGGACGGAGCAGAATAACCACAGGGCCAGCTTTTTAAAAAACGGTATTCCAGAACGAGATTCCCGATCGGCCCCACTCTGCCAATTATTCGATGGAGCAAGTAACCTTGAACACAATAAGTTTCAGCGATCCTCCACCAATCGAATGCGGAAAGTTTGGCAAATTCGAGTTCGTCTTGGTTGGGATGCTATACCGGATAGTCGCCAAAAAGCATTCCAGCAGCTACTCCGCACCAAACCACAGTTACAATGGGAAGCCGTTCCCGACTTATTGCTTGATACTGAGGATTTTTTGTCACCAATAACAATATATCCTATTATGATACAGTGTTCCATTTCACTTTTATCGGTAAGTTATTGGCGAATAAAATTAACCATTAACTCATCATGCACATTTTTATGATTATACCGTAACTTTGACCATGATTAACTGTACCTATTATGAATTTTTGGTATTACTATCATTTGGTATTGGCAATATTTTTAAAATCAATATGATAACATCTCTATATGAGTATTGATATAGTCTTATCAATATTCATATCTTTTTCAAAACTTTATCACTTTTCTTTCTTATTTCCTTACTTCCAAAACGTCGACATTTCAAGTTAAGTACTAGCAACATGCGCTAAATGTGATAGAAAAACAACACATTGCCAATTTATGATAATAAGCTATTAGATGACAGGACTTATATCTGATAACTGATTATCACAAAAACCTTAAAAAACCTATTATTGATAACACCAACAACAGTTATCGCTCTCAGTGATATAATTTCGGATCGTACGGATTGCGTTACCAGCATACCTTTTAGATTGTATCTGTCAAAAATAGCTGATAACAACCTTAGATAATTAGTTGAATGTTGAAAATTGGCACATTAAGGCTTATCTTTCTTTACATGATGAAAATATTTCAGCTTAGGCAAACCTTAGTGATTGCTAGTTTTGGACCAATTGGAGTATTTATCCCACAGTTTTATTTTCTTGAAGATTCCTTATTTTCGTGTTGTCCAGTGGAAACTACAATGGCTTATGCAAATTTGCTTCAACATCCTACCCAAACGAAATTGTTTTGCTCGAAAGTAATTTTGTGATTGATACTAATTCAATAGCTCTACTCATTCAGCATGGAGAAAGTGTCATTTGAGTTAGCTTCAGTACCTATGTTAAATACTCTTTGAGTGCAAAAAGCGAAAAAAATCTCAAGATTTGTTAATTAAAACCACTACAAATTACTTTGAATTGTTCATTTTTCTTCCTGTTTTCCTTTAAAATTTAACAATGATATGTTCCATGGGAATAGAATGAAATCAAAAGCAATAATTAAAAATCAAAAAATCTAAGTAAACTAATTTTACTTCCAGGTTTCAACTTCTACCGCTTTAATGGTCTCATTTGCATCATTTACAATCGCTGTTTGCTGTACTGCAATAGCTTTCCGCACTCGATATAAAAATTGAAGAAATGAGAAATAGATTGGATGAATATTTTTTGATGATTAATTATTTCTCACTTTTCACCAGATGTCGTCCAAATATTGTGTGGAACAAAAAAAAAAAACAAGGTAGGCTGCTTGTTAGTGTCTGTCGATTATTTTTAGAAGCTTATCTTTTCAAAATTGTCTGTTTTTCATGCTTGGTTTAGAGCTTAAGCCGAGCTTTACAAACTTTTTTGTGTGATGCTTTAGTCTGCTTGATCTCAATGATAGATATGAGTCAACTGGTTGAAATCTTCGGTTACGATTTTGATTAAATATTATGACTGAAAGCCTTCGCATATAAGAAATAAAATTGTTAATTAGAAATGAAAATTCAGTCAAACTATTTTTTTTTTACTTGAAGTTCTTAAATCAGTTGCTAATAGCGATAATTATATTAGAAGTATTACCTAATGAACTTTCACGTCACGTCATGAAATTTGGAAAAATTTTCACACATATTAAACCGCCAATTTTAAATTTTAAATCTTTTAAGCAAAATTTCAAACAGTGGTAGGGATTCAATGTAATGATAAATTATGTTTGATAATTTGCCTTTAAACATGTGCCAATAAAGAATCGTAATTGTTGTATGCGTTTGTTTCTGACAAAACAATATAAATGAGAAATTCGCGTGGATCTGTGAAAATACTGAGAACTTTATGTCATCTAAGAAAGTTAAGGTTGGCAGTGTTGTTACAGAATTTTGAACAGGCAACAGAACAACTCCTTTGTTTGACATCTTTTAATATCAGAGAATCATTCTGAGAGGTTTCCAGCACCAGATAAGATAATAATGATAAAAAGCATGTGTAAGAAGGCGATATATGAAAGCGTAGTGTGCACGCATGTTGCAGATGCTGTTTGAGCACTTTCGTATACGTTTCGATTGATATACAAGCAATGAAAAAGCTTAGAAGCATTTACGATGTACAATTGATGGGCCAGATTCATCGTATTCCTGCTTCGAGATCCACATCTATAATTTGTTGAAAATTCAGTGGATTACGCTACCATTGTTAAATAATCAGACAATGCCTTCATTTGCTGAAGCATTGACTTCTCCCACTTTTGTACTGATAAATTTGTTTCAAATCTATTCCTGAATTATTACAAAAAGAAAAAAAACATTGAAAAGTAGCTGTACCTGTTGGAAGGTGGATAGGGAAGCCAAGATGGAGCCACCAATCCATACGGAGTATTTGCGCTCTGGTGGTGCAATAATTTTGATCTTCATCGTGCTTGGTGCCAGGGCTGTCACTTCTTTCTGCAATGTTCACATAAATTAAGCGTTTCCTTTAAAAATAAAAAAAGTAAAAAGATCAGAAATAGCGAGAAGGAATAAATTTCTAAAGCCAAGCTTTTAATTATGCACATCTGTTTTTTTCATACTGACCAGTTCTCAAGAATATATGGTTCAAGAATAAGAATCTTGCCTGCATTCGATCAGCAATGCCAGGATACATAGTTGTGCCACCGGATAGGACAATGTTAGCATAAAGATCCTTTCGGATGTCGATGTCACACTTCATGATGCTGTTGTATGTTGATTCATGAATACCAGCAGATTCCATACCCAAGAAGGATGGCTAAAAAGATTCTTCTTTTTGCAAAGAAATCAAAATTTCAATTAGAAAGGAAATTCCCCAAATAAATTGCTTACATTGTAATCTTAGCTCCTTCTATATAAAGAGTCAAAAATTCCCAGCTGACCTGAAATAGAGCTTCTGGGCATCGGAATCGTTCGTTGCCTACGGTAATCACTTGGCCATCAGGCAATTCATAAGACTTTTCAAGGGACGAGGACGATGCAGCAGTTGCCATTTCCTGCTCGAAGTCTAAGGCGACATAGCACAACTTCTCCTTGATGTCACGCACAATTTCACGCTCAGCCGTGGTTGTGAATGAGTAACCACGTTCAGTGAGGATCTTCATTAAGTAATCTGTCAAGTCCCGTCCAGCCAAATCCAGACGCAAAATTGCGTGCGGAAGTGCGTAACCTG